AAATTTTATATGGATATCTTAATTTAGTAATGAGTTATGCGCGTTTAAGTGATTTTCGGGAGGGGACCTTGTATGGGAGCTATGTCCAATTATGGACCTATCCATAAAATTTTTCCTCTGAAAGAATTCTATTGACATAAGATTTTAATTTGTAAAATTTTGTGAAGATATCGACATTGTGGCGGAAGTTATTAACAAAAAACCCATTTTCCGGGAATATGTACTTTTGTATGGGAGGTATATGAAATTGTGGACCGATTCTGGCAATTTTCAGCAGGGATCAAGATCTTGTGCAGAAACGAATGTATGGTGATTTCCATAGAATTACCTTGCATAGTTTTCGAGAAAACTATATCAGAATGTGTAAAAAATGCTTATTTTTTTCCGAGGTTGTTTTAAATTTTGATTCATAACTTTTCCTGGTGTGAACCGATTTTGCCCATTTGCAATACCAAACAACTTAGGAAAATGAAGAACATTTTGGGTGAATTTGGTTAAGCTCTATTGCTTCGTTTTATCGTGAGCGTGTTTTACACAGACAGACGGACAGACGGACAGACGGACAGACGGACAGACGGACATAGCTAAATCGACTCAGAATTTGATAAGGACCCAGAATATATATACTTTGTTGGGTCTCAGATGAATATTTCTTGGTGTTACACACGGAATGACAAAGTTATATATACCCTCTATCACCACTGATGGTGGTGGAGGGTATAAAAATGAAAAGTAATGGTTAACAAAAACATAACAAAAGTTAAGAGAAAAAAAAACGAATGAAAAAATTTTATATGTAAAATACAAAAACAGTAAATTACAGAACATTAAACTTCTTTACAACAATTAACACTACAACTCATTTACATAAACAAATGCACGCGTTTAACAGCAACAACGTACAGCAAAAACAACAATCAAATAAAGTAAAGCAGCAACAAAAATTACAACAACAAAATAGCTTTTTCAGACAAGAACAACGAAATTGAAATTAAATCAAGCAACAACAAGAACACAACTATTTTGCAACTACTGTAATTATAGTATGACTCTATCAGCCGAAATTGGTATGGCGAAAAAGGAGCAAACTGGACTATAACTTGTTTTAAGGTTTTTTGCTTAATGCATTTACATTCTCTCTCTTTATATGTTGGTTTGTTTGTTTTAGCCGATTGCACGACTATGGTCCTCTCATTTTGTGCTTGCTGTTGTTAACATATTGACTAGCATTAGAGAACATAAAAAGTTTTTAAGCTTTTGCCAAGAAAAATAGCAAAATTGTATGAAAATATGCAGTGCTAGTAAAAGCTGACTTAAGACGGTGCTACTTTTATAAAGTTCAGGTCTAGGTCAGTTCTAGCTGAGCTCTAGTTAAGTTCTAGTTGAGTTCAAGTTCAGTTCTAGTTCAGTTCTAGTTCAGTTCTAGTTCAGTTCTAGTTCAGTTCTAGTTCAGTTCTAGTTCAGTTCTAGTTCAGTTCTAGTTCAGTTCTAGTTCAGTTCTAGTTCAGTTCTAGTTCAGTTCTAGTTCAGTTCTAGTTCAGTTCTAGTTCAGTTCTAGTTCAGTTCTAGTTCAGTTCTAGTTCAGTTCTAGTTCAGTTCTAGTTCAGTTCTAGTTCAGTTCTAGTTCAGTTCTAGTTCAGTTCTAGTTCAGTTCTAGTTATCTAGTTCAGTTCTAGTTCGGTTCTAGTTTCTAGTTCAGTTCTAGTTCAGTTCTAGTTCAGTTCTAGTTCAGTTCTAATTCAGTTCTAGTTCAGTTCTAGTTCTGTTCTAGTTCTGTTCTAGTTCTGTTCTAGTTCTGTTCTAGTTCTGTTCTAGTTCTGTTCTAGTTCTGTTCTAGTTCTGTTCTAGTTCTGTTCTAGTTCTATTTCTGTTGTACTTCTGTTCTAGTTCTGTTCTAGTTCTGTTCTAGTTCTGTTCTAGTTCTGTTCTAGTTCTGTTCTAGTTCTGTTCTAGTTCTGTTCTAGTTCTATTCTAGTTCTGTTCTAGTTCTGTTCTAGTTCTAGTTCTGTTCTAGTTCTGTTCTAGTTCTGTTTTAATTCTGTTCTAGTTCTGTTCTAGTTCTGTTCTAGTTCTGTTCTAGTTCTGTTCTAGTTCTGTTCTAGTTCTGTTCTTGTTTTGTTCTAGTTCTGTTCTAGTTCTGTTCTTGTTTTGTTCTGTTCTAGTTCTGTTCTAGTTCTGTTCTAGTGCTCTTCTAGTTCTGTTCTAGTTCTGTTCTAGTTCTGTTCTAGTTCTATTCTAGTTCTGTTCTAGTTCTGTTCTAGTTCTGTTCTAGTTCTGTTTTAGTTCTGTTCTAGTTCTGTTCTAGTTCTGGTTTAGTTCTGTTTTAGTTCTGTTCTAGTTCTGTTCTAGTTCTGTTCTAGTTCTATTTTAATTCTGTTCTAGTTCTGTTCTAGTTCTAGTTTAATTTGTTCTAATACTTATTTTTATTTAAATTTCTTATAAAATATAATCCTGTTTTTTTCTTGTTTTGAATAATAATTATTCTACCTGGAAGAATAGGCTTGAGGCTATTTGTGAGTATTTTATTAGACCAAATACCTCTTCCCTGTTTATTTTGGTGATGTCCGTCCTTCTGTTCATTTATTGTTAATTTTCTTTAATATTGACCTTTTGCCAATTGGCATATAAAGGAAAAATTTGTTACATTGGGAGTTATTTTTTAATAATGATTATATTGTCAAGTCTATGATTCCTAAACCTATCTACTGATGTATCAGCAATGAAAATATCTCCAGCTGGTGGAGTTTAGCGATGTCCGTCAATCAGTACTTTTTTCATATTTTTTATAATTTTGATGTACATGTATTTTAATTTTTACAAATTAGTAAAATGCAAATAATTTTATATAAATTTTAATAAAAGAATACATTGTCTAATATCCACGACTTGTATTTATCTACTGATGTATCAAATAGTTAAAAATCTCTTTTCAGATTAGTTAACTAATATCCGTCCGTCCATCGGCTTTTTCTTTTTAATATGAAATTTTAATACCACTTTAGCTATTTTCGAAATTGTTGAAATGTTTTCAAATTCTAAATAATGGATCTAAAATAAACAGTTTACGAAATTTTACAAAATATTCGAGATAAAATTTCAAATAAACTAAATAGTGCTTTATAGTTCTTTAATATTTACTGATGTTTTTAGTTCTGTATAAAATAGTTTAGAATTTCTGCACAAGTTTATAAGGTTAGTTGAATGAGCTGCTAAAAGGTGCTTTTCAGAAATTCACAGTGTATAAAATATCACATTTCTTAACTCAAAGTCAAATACTTTCTACCAAGGTTAAACTACAGTGTTAATAACAAACTCCATCTTAATATTTTTGAAGCAAAAATATGTATTAAGCTCAAGGTCTTTTAGTTTTTTTTTTTTTTTTTGGTGACATTAATCCATTCCTGTGAGATATTAGCATGCATGACAAACGCTTAATCCGTGCAGAACCATAAAAATCAAGAAAAACACTTGTTTTACATATTAGTAGGTAGTCCAGAGAAAAGTAACAAACTTTAGTAGTATTCTTTTTATATTTTACGACCAAGTGTAGCGCTTGAACAGCCATTTACAAATGAAATGAAAATTTATATTTTCGCCTGTTGCCTGTTTATCATCTGGAGCAGAGTTTTTCATATGATTGTTGTTGTTGGTGGTATAGCCTTTAAGCTAGGAAAACCAAATAAATACTAAATGCAATTTTTGTTCCTTTACAACAACTATGACAGTGATAGAAAAAAAAACTATAAATTGAGCAGAAAAAGAGAGTCAAAAACATGTTTAACATAGAGAAGAGAGAACCGGCCGGTTTATTAAAAAGTAAAGTTATTGTTGTTGTATATGCATGGCATTAAAACGTGCATGTTTAGTGCATATTAATTGCTTTGTAAAGCATATTTTTGAGAGAAAGAGTAACAGGGAGATATAGAGAGAGAGTGCAGTGTATGTATGCATGTAAACAACAACAATTTAACATAGTGACACACATGTTAGTTTAATAAGTATTGTAAAATTGTTTTTATAAGTATGGGTGCAAGTGAGAGTAAATAAAACTGACATTTGTTGCATGTTGTTTAACATTTCCCCTACTTTTTGAGGAAAAAAAAACTCACTCTCTCAGTGCATTTATTTGAATGCAGTTAGTGCTTTAATAAGATATAAAGTCAACGAGAGTGAAAAAGAGAGAGAGAGCGAGCAGAGAATTTATGTTTATTTTTGTAGCAGAGAGTATTTATGAATAATCATGATAGTAATATATATATAAAAACAACAACAAAAACTAACATAAAATCATAAAATAACGTACATGTACTTTGATAATACGTGACTGTTACACTATCTTACTAAAACAATCTCCCTTTCAATATAACCCTGTATTAGTTTAGTTTAAGAGGAACTTTTGGCAGTAATAATTAATAATAATAATGAACAAGATAATAATGGAGTTATAGAAGATAATTAAGAAAAAATTAGTTTAAAAATTCTTGCAGAATTATGAAATTAAGTAAATTTCTACTTAAAATAAAACTCTGAGAATTCATTGCATATTATTGGGAGCATAACTGTGTTTAATGTTGGGGAGAGTACTGGCTGGTAGGTAGGCAGTGAGTATATGCTAGTGTGTTTATGATGAGTGCATGTATGTTTATTATTCTCAGCATTATTGCATTTACTCTTCACATGCATTTGCTCACATACATAAGATTTAGTGAGTGTGTGTGTGTGTTTTTATGTTTGTACTCTCTGGTGTTTTTCTACATGTGTAACACAATGTATATGTGTTTATTGTTGTTTGTATTATAATGCATGTGAGTATAAGTTTTAGTTAGTAATATGTTTGTTTTTGTTTTCGCTAGTAAAAGAGCATAGTGTATACGTACGTGTGTAAATGTTAGTTTTTATGAGTTGTATAGCCAGGCCAAGTTAAACAACACAGAAAAACAATTTTCAACGAGCCAACGGAGTCTCATCGTAGCAAATTCATAATCAGTTTGAGTTGAAACGTTAAGCGGTAAACATGTTTTAGAAAAATAGCTCTTCCGTATTTAAAGTTATAAAATAAATTGAAAATATCACAAAGCAAGAAAAAAAAAATAACTTAACGTCTCACTATTACATTATAACAAATCATTAAAGAAGAAAAAATAAAATAACGAAAAATTATCTTAACGCTTGTAACGTTTACGTATCTCACACTTGGATTACGGGTTTACGGTGTTCGTTTAACAAGCATTTTATCACTAAATACAAACAAGTGACTTTATTTATAAAACAAAAATTTCAAAAAATGTTAATTTCTTTTTAATAAAAAAAAAACAAACAACCAAAACAAAAAAAAACTTTACAAAAATGAAAGAATAATCAAGTGTTGTGGTCATTAAAACCTTAAACATATAAAAATTAACAACCAATTACAAAAAATAAAAATAAAGAAATTTTTCTTAAAAATAAAAAGAAAATTTCTTCATTCAACAACAACAAAAAATCATTCACACTCAACATTCATAGCAAAATGTCAACAAAAATGTCTTTAACAACTTTAAACGCCTGCGCTCTTCTTATCCTAAGCATTGTCAGCGGCGCCTGCTCACAATGTTCTTGGGAATTTGTACGCACTACCATGGATATCAAGTGCAATTTACGTGCCATCGATGCCTCACAACCTTTGGACTTACAAGTAGCCGAAACTGCCACTAGATTAGAAATTTCCTGCTCCTCGGATGTTTTGTATGCCAGTGAATTGTCTAGCAATACTTTTAATCGCTTGCAAAAATTATCCGATTTACAAGTGGCCAATTGTAAGATGCAACGTTTAAATGCCAATGCCTTTGAGGGTTTAATGTCGTTGAAACGTTTGTCGGTGCAGACCCACAATGCCGTCTGGGGTCCCGGTAAAACTTTGGAAATTTTGCCACAATCGTTTTATGGTTTGCGCGAGTTAAACGAATTGAATTTAAGTGATAATAATATACGTCAATTGCCCGAGGGTGTTTGGTGTGCCATGCAAAATTTACAAGTTTTGAACTTGACCGCGAATCGTATACGTTCGGCTGAAAGTCTCGGTTTTTCGGAAAAACTTTGTACCCTTAATGGCGCTAGCGGTGGTGCTGAATTGCAAGTGTTGGATGTTTCCTTTAATGAATTGAGAGCCTTGCCTGATGTTTGGGGTGCCTCACGCTTGAGACGTCTGCAGCAGTTGAATTTACAGCACAACAACATTTCCTCCTTGGCTGCCAATGCCTTGGCTGGTTTGTCTTCTTTGCGCATTTTGAACTTGTCCTACAATCATTTGGAAACTTTGCCCGCCGATGCCTTTGCTGGCAATAAAGAACTCAGAGAAATCCATTTGCAAGGCAATGAATTGTATGATTTGCCTAAAGGTTTGCTACACCGTCTAGAACAATTATTGGTTTTGGATCTGAGTGGCAACCAATTGACTTCTCATCATGTGGACAACAACACCTTTGCTGGTTTGATGCGCTTAGTTATTCTTAATCTAGCCAATAATGCCTTGACTCGTATCGGTTCTAAAACCTTTAAGGAATTGTATTTCTTGCAAAATCTCGATTTGCGCAACAACTCTATTGGTCATATTGAAGATGGTGCCTTTTTGCCTTTGTATAACCTACACATCCTCAACTTGGCTGAAAATCGTTTACACACCTTGGACAACAAAATCTTCAATGGCTTATATATTCTCACCAAATTGACTTTGAACAATAACTTGATCAGCATTGTAGAGAATCAAGCCTTCCGCAATTGTTCTGATTTGAAAGAACTCGACTTAAGCTCCAATCAGTTGGCTGAGGTGCCAGAAGCTGTACAAGATTTGAGCATGCTGAAAACTTTAGATTTGGGTGAAAATCAAATTTCCGACTTCAAAAACAACACCTTCAAGAATTTGAATCAATTGACCGGTTTGCGTTTGATTGACAATCGCATTGGCAACATTACTGTGGGCATGTTCTCCGACTTGCCTAGATTAAGTGTTTTGAATTTGGCCAAAAATCGCATACAATCCATTGAACGTGGCGCCTTTGACAAGAATACCGAAATTGAGGCCATACGCTTGGACAAAAACTTCCTCACCGACATCAATGGCATTTTTGCCACTTTGGCTTCTCTGTTATGGTTGAATTTGTCTGAAAATCATTTAGTTTGGTTCGATTATGCTTTTATTCCTTCCAACCTAAAATGGTTAGATATCCATGGCAATTACATTGAAGCCTTGGGCAACTACTATAAACTGCAAGAGGAAATCCGTGTCACCACTTTGGATGCCAGCCATAACCGCATCACCGAAATTGGAGCCATGTCTGTACCCAACTCCATTGAATTAATCTTCATTAACAACAACATCATTAGCCAAGTACAACCTAATACTTTTGTGGATAAATCAAAATTGACTAGAGTTGATTTGTATGCTAATGTCTTGTCAAAATTACAATTGAACTCTTTGCGCGTTGCCCCAGTAGCGGCTGATAAGCCAGTACCCGAATTCTATTTGGGCGGTAATCCCTTTGAATGTGACTGCTCGATGGAATGGCTGCAAAGAATTAACAATATGACTACACGCCAACATCCCCGCATTATCGATTTGGCTAATATTGAATGTCTAATGCCTCACAGTCGTAACGCCCCGATTAGACAATTGTCTTCGCTATCCAGTAGTGATTTTGTTTGCAAATATGATTCTCACTGTCCCGCCACTTGCCACTGCTGTGATTTCGAACAATGCGATTGTGAAATGGTGTGTCCTGACAATTGTACCTGTTTCCATGATGCTACCTGGTCGACGAACATTGTCGACTGTGGGAAACAAAATCGCATTACTTTGCCGGTGCGCATACCCCAGGAAGTTACCGACTTGTATATGGATGGTAATAATCTGCCCGTTATTGACAATCAGGTGTTTGTGGGTAAGCGTAATTTGAGAGCTCTCTACCTGAACTCTTCGAATGTGGTGACCATACAAAACGGTTCCTTCAGTGAGCTGACCATGCTGCGCACTTTACATTTGGAGAACAATAAGTTGCAGTCTTTGGATGGCAATGAATTCAAACAATTGTCTTTGCTGAAAGAATTGTACTTGCACAATAACTTGCTGACTACTATTGCCAATAGTACTTTTGCTCCTTTGGTTTCTTTGAAGGTATTGCGTTTGGATAACAATCGTTTGACCTCCATGCCTATTGCTCAATTGGCTAACTTGCAGTATCGCAATAATTTGCAGGGTTTGACTATGGGCCGTAATGCCTGGTCTTGCCGTTGTCAATTCTTGCAGGCTTTGGCTCAATTTGTGGCTGATAATGCTATTGTTATACGCGATACCCAAGATATTTACTGTGTGGATAATGGTGTTAAGCGTGAATTGGATTTGTTCACCCAACATGGTGTCGAGTGCAGTGAATTAATGGAAAATGCTGCCAATATGGCTTCTCAGGATATCTCGGGTGGTTATGTGCCACTTTTGGCTGCTGTTTTGGTATTGATTTTCCTGATTGTGGTTTTGATTATTGTCTTCGTCTTCAGAGAATCGGTAAGAATGTGGTTGTTTGCCCATTATGGTGTCAGAGTATGTGAGCCTAGATTTGAGGATGCCGGCAAATTGTACGATGCCATTATCTTGCATTCCGAAAAGGATTATGAATTTGTATGCCGCAACATAGCCACCGAATTGGAACATGGACGTCCTCCTTTCCGTCTATGCATACAACAAAGAGATTTGCCACCCCAAGCCAGTCATTTACAAATAGTCGAAGCTGCCCGTGCCTCACGCAAAATTATATTGGTTTTAACACGCAATCTTTTGGCCACCGAATGGCAACGTTTGGAATTCCGCAATGCCTTCCACGAAGCCTTAAGAGGTTTGGCCCAAAAGTTGGTGATCATTGAGGAGACCAATGTATCGACTGAAGCTGAAGATGTAGCCGAGCTTTCACCTTATTTGAAATCAGTGCCTTCCAATCGTTTACTCACCTGTGATCGTTACTTCTGGGAGAAATTGCGTTATGCCATACCAATTGAATTATCGCCCAGAGGCAACAACTATACCTTGGATCATCATGAACGCTTCAAGCAGCCCGTCTCACCTGGAGTACTCTTCAGACAAGCACCACCACCACCTGCCTACTACCAAGAAGATATGGAAGCTAATTACTCGTCAGCCACCACTGCCACACCCTCTCCAAGACCCACCCGTCATGGTCAACGTATTGTTGATGCCATACCCATGAGACCACCTAGTGAACATATCTATCATAGCATAGAATCTGAACATTACTATGATCAACATGAGGCCTTGTCCATGATACCCAATGGCATGTCAGCTCATCATCATCATCCCCATCATCAGCATTTAGCTCCTCCTTCAGCTAGTAATGCCTTTCGTCAATCAAACAACCCTCGTTTGTCTTTGAATGCTGGTCAACAACAACAGTGGCGACCCTCCATGTTAATGCAACAAAATGCCAACCAACAGCCAGCCACAGCCCCTGTACATTTACGCAGTGGTAGCAATTTAAGTCAATGTAGTACCAGCACACAATCCACAGCCGCGCTGGCGCAAACACCTCAACCACAAGCTTCCACTTCCGCTGCGGCGCAATTACAGCAGCAACAACAACTACAGCAAGCAGCTGGTAATAATAATACAGGTGTGACTAGCGGCACAAATAATTCCACCACCATTAATTCAAATTCTGCTGAAGCAGTGGCAACAACAACAACAGCAACGTCCTCTGCCACAACAGCGAATAAGAATAATAATCAAGCTTTTTTAGTGTAGAAAAAACTTAAAAAGGGAAACAGCAGCAACAACAATATGGTGCAACTACCAAACAGGGAAGGGGATCAAACTCTAGCAGCCATTTATAAATTCCAAAAAAACACAGCCAGAGCAATACAAACACAAGAAGCCATGATGTGTATCATTAAGGCGAGGAGGGCCGTAGCAGCCGCAGCATTAGCTCTACAAGAGGATCAAACAGACGGCGGATGGACAGACACGGCCAATAGCAGAATCTTAAGCTTTATTTAGCCAGATTTTTGAAAATCCCCCTTAGAGCAAAACTATATACTTATATATATATACACTTAAAATTTAAAAATTAAAAGACTTTCCATAGGAACAGTAGTTAAAAGGAAAAAATGTTAGGTAAAACGAAAAAAGCAAAATTTTGAAGCAGAACAAAAAAAAACGAAAAGCGTACCACTTTTTTTCAAATTCAATGTGATATTAAATAATTATTTAATTATAATATAAAGAAAAAACAAAAATGTATTATATTAAACAAATAACTAAAAAAAAAGTAGTTAATCTAAATTTAAAAAAAAAACATTCATTTAGTATATAAAAAATAAATTATTTTTTAAGTTTTTTCTATATTTAATATAAGTTTATTAAATAAGTAATTTAAATTAAATTTAATAAAAACGAAAAATATTTAAAAACTAAAAAACAAAACCCCACTAAAATTTTATTATTAAAAAAAAAAAACGACAACTACAACAACTACTGAACTTTAATATTTTATGTAAATATTTATAAATATTTTAGTTTATATATTTTATTATTATTACTAAAAAAAAAAAATAATACTATTTTATTATTGTTTGTCATTGTATAAAATTTATATATAGAAACAACAAAAAACTCGAAACTCTGTATAAAATCGTACATATTTAGCATACAAAAAAGCAAAAAAAAAAAAAAATTGTTGTAATGTATTTATAGTTTATTAAAAATTAAAAAAAATATATAACAAAATGTAAATTTGTATTTCCTAGTTTAAAAACGTAAAAACAAAAAAGTTAACTAAATATTAATATTAAATATAAACACACAAACAAACAAAAAATAAAAGAAAAATGTAGCCATTTTCCTACAAATGGCTATTAAATTATTTAAAAAATTAAATCTTTATTTGTTTTTATTTCAAACAACAACTACATACAATATTTAAAATATTTGTACATGTATGTATGAATTCAAACGCCAGCAGTTCCGGTAGGATCTACAAATAAATAAACTGATTCCCTACAGGCTACTCTATTATGAGTTACAGAGCCTTCTCTCTAGATTACTTAAAGGCACTAAAGTTCAGATCTAATACAGTTCTAGTTCATTTCTAGTTTAGTTCTAGTTCATTTATAGCTCAGTTCTAATTCAGTTCTAGTTCTGTTCTAGTTCTGTTCTAGTTTTGTTCTAGTTCTGTTCTAGTTCTGTTCTAGTTCTGTTCTAGTTCTGTTCTAGTTCTGTTCTAGTTCTGTTCTAGTTCTGTTCTAGTTCTGTTCTAGTTCTGTTCTAGTTCTGTTCTAGTTCTGTTCTAGTTCTGTTCTAGTTCTGTTCTAGTTCTGTTCTAGTTCTGTTCTAGTTCTGTTCTAGTTATGTTCTAGTTCTGTTCTAGTTCTGTTCTAGTTCTGTTCTAGTTCTGTTCTAGTTCTGTTCTAGTTCTGTTCTAGTTCTGTTCTAGTTCTGTTCTAGTTCTGTTCTAGTTCTGTTCTAGTTCTGTTCTAGTTCTGTTCTAGTTCTGTTCTAGTTCTGTTCTAGTTCTGTTCTAGTTCTGTTCTAGTTCTGTTCTAGTTCTGTTCTAGTTCTGTTCTAGTTCTGTTCTAGTTCTGTTCTAGATCTGTTCTAGTTCTGTTTTAGTTCTGTTCTAGTTCTGTTCTAGTTCTGTTCTAGTTCTATTCTAGTTCTGTTCTAGTTCTGTTCTAGTTCTGTTCTAGTTCTGTTCTAGTTCTGTTCTAGTTCTGTTCTAGTTCTGTTCTAGTTCTGTTCTTTATCTGTTCTAGTTCTATTCTAGTTCTGTCCAAGTTCTGTTCTAGTTCCATTCTAGTTCTGCTGTAGGTCCATAGTAGTTCCGCTTTGATTATCCTCCAGTTCAATTGTAGTTCAGTTCTAGTTTATTTCTATATCTAGAATTGTTCTAATTCAATTCCCTTTTAGATTTTGAAGTTGATGGCATTTAAACTACAGGGCTATACTACATACGAACATAAATACATATGTATTTGTATACTAAATAAGGGCAGTGGCTAAATATTTATTATTACTCTCATTCCTTTTAGTTATTATAACTAATACCGGCTAAAAGGACTAATAGGATTTAGTTGCATACAAAAATATGAGAAAACAAAAGATTAAAATTTCTTTGCAAATTAAATTTTTAAATAATTTAGCAAAGTTTTAACTAATGGAAAAATAATAACTATTTAATTAAATTAAGTTGTATATTATTTTAGCAGAGAAGTTTTGGGATAAAAAATTAAGTATTTTAAAGGTCAATATTATAAAGGCACGTTCTGTACGAAAAATAATTTTCTGGTCTAAGCTTTTAGTATTCAGGGAGCGCGCTTTTAAAGAGTTATCGAAAGCAAACTGGTTAAAAAGCTTTCTGCTAAAACACTTTTAAATGATCGTTAATATTTTTTAATTATTTTAAAATGAACTTTATTTTATTTACTGAAGCCAAGAGCATAAAGAAAAACAAATTGCTACGAATTAGTTTAAAATTTTTTATGTTTTTCTTAAATATTTGCATACTTTAGTAAATATTTAAGACAATAAACAACAATTTGTATGAACATTGTTTTCAACTTAGTTAAATTGAACTGTCGATAAAGTAAACTTTGCTAAAAAAAATTTTAATTTACATTAAGACATTACTTAGTAAATAACAGTTTAAACTCATTAACAAATTAATTAAATAAGTAACATTGAGCATTATTTACTCAAAATAATAAGGTGGACTCGATTTGGTTAAAAAGAAAACAATTTTGGGTGATTTTGACCATTCGATGTAAACCCTTAATGTATGCATTAGTTTTACAACTTTTGTAAAGCTTTTTTCACATATTCAATTTAATCTGGTTTTATTTGATTTTCTCGATGACTTCACAAAAGGGAATCTTATTTTGTAAAAAAATTATTTGTTATTAAAACTTAAAGTAACTGTACTTGCTTAAACTAGGTTACGAAAATATTTGTACTTTTTTTTTGTTCCTTTTCCAAAGTATTTCTAATGAGTTTGTTTTTCAACAAAACAATTTATTTAATTAGTTGTTAGTTTCTCTAAGGAAAACCATGCTTAAAATACATTATATATATAAGTATATAGAATTTATACGATATCGAATTAAACAATGATACTTGTCCATTATTTGAACTGATACATGAACATGTACAGTAGCGCAGAACACAGTATAATGACCCATTGTTACCGAAAAATAATCGATAAATTGTAAAATTTACAAACAGTTGGCTGACACTTTGTTCTTTTTCCTGCAGCTAAGCTAACATGCAAATGTGACATAGATTAATATGAAAAGAATTGGTTATATTTTAAGTTAAGAAAATAGTTTAGTTAAATGTTTAAAGTTTACGGTAGATTGGGTTAAAGCGCAATGTAAAAGAAGCATGAAAGCATAAACGAAGCCCTATAGAGTTTCCTTTAAAAGACTTTTAGTGTGTTTTCAAAAGACAATATGATTTATATAGAAAAGCTTTATAAAAAATTTTCGAAAAATTTTACAGAACAGTTTTCTATAGTTTTCATACAGAAAAGCTCTCTACAGAGTTTTTATAGAAAAGCTTTCTAGAGGTTATCCATAGAAAAACTTTCTATAGTTTTTCTATAGAAAAGATTGCATAGAAAAGCCTTTTTATAGATTTTCTATAGAAAAGCTTTTTATAGATTTAGAAAAGCTTTTTTATAGATTTCCTATAGAAAAGCTTTTTTATAGACTTTCCATAGAAAAGTTTTTTTTAGATTTTCTATAGAATAGCTTTTTTATAGATTTTCTATAGAAAAGCTTTCTTATAGATTTTCTATAGAAAAGCATTTTTACAGATTTTTTATAGAAAAGCTTTTTTATAGATTTTCTATAGAAAAGCTTTTTTTATAGATTTTCTATAGAAATGCTTTTTATAGATTTTCTATAGAAACGCTTTTTTATAGATTTACTATAGAAAAGCTTTTTTATAGATTTTCTATAGAAAAGCTTTTTTATAGATTTTCTATAGAATAGCTTTTTTATAGATTTTCTATAGAAAAGCTTTCTTATAGATTTTCTATAGAAAAGCATTTTTACAGATTTTTTATAGAAAAGCTTTTTTATAGATTTTCTATAGAAAAGCTTTTTTATAGATTTTCTATAGAAAAGCTTTTTTATAGATTTTCTATAGAAAAGCTTTTTATAGATTTTCTATAGAAAAGCTTTTTTACAGATTTTCTAAAGAAAAGCTGTTCTATAGATTTTCTCTCGAAAAACTTTTTTATAGATTTTCTATAGAAAAGCTTTTTTATAGATTCCATAGAAAAGCATTTTTATAGATTTTCTATAGAAAAGTATTTTATAGATTTTCTATAGAAAAGCTTTCTATATTCTATAGAAAAACTTTCAATAGATTTTCTTAGCAAATTATTCTACTAATTTTCTATTCTAGCAAATTATTCTACACATATTTTATAGAAAAGCTTTCTATCAACTTTTTGTAGAAGATCTTTGTATAAATATTCGATAGAAAGGCTTCCATTAGTTTTTCTATAGATTTTCTGAAGAAAAGCTTTTTGGAGATTTGTCTATATTAAAGCTTTCTAAGGTTATTATTAAAGCTTTCTAAGATTTGTTGGACAAAAACTTAATAATTTGAAATAAAAAGTTTTCCATAGAGCGTCGTTAGAAAAGCTTCCAATACATTTTGTATAAAAAGCTTTAAATTCCTAAGGAAAACCACCAATGTGGTTTCTTTGTAAAAGCTCTGTAAAATATTCTACTGAAAAGCTTGCGAGATATGTTCTAAGATTATTTGTATAAAAACATTTTCTATAGATTTTCTAAAGAAAAGCTTTTAGGAGATTTTCGAGATTAGTCTAT